TACATGTTTGGCATGGATGGTGCACAGGTTGGTATCCTCAAACAGATCTGCTTTCAGCAAAGCACTGATAGCTGCACTCTGGAAGTGCAGTTCTGTTTGGAAGTCCTGAGAAGTTTCTCACAGTAGACGCTGGAAAGGACGTTTGTGAATCAGTAGTTCAATGAGTGGACTTCGGTTAACATCTAATTTCAGAGTGCCATAGCCCTAAGCCTATAACCATGAGGTTTCTTCACCCCTCCAGTAGAGGGCGCACTTTTATGAGCTGCTTTTGTAGCCAGTTTCCTGGGCCCTTTACCACCAGTGGATTTGTGGGCAGTCTGCTTTGTATGAGCTATGGTACAGGGACCTCTTCACCCTTTTCCTGGCTGGAGCTCCGTGCGCTAGAGGTGTCACTGGTGTTGGAGAGTGATGGCCAGTAGGGAATGTTTGTGAGGAGTATTAATGTGTGGAGGGAGTAAGTGAAATGGTACTGAGAGATTATGCTGGTTGAGAGTTTATTAGAGATCAAAATAATTTATAATCTTAAAGGCTTTAGAAGTGGTTTGATTTTATCCTAAAAGTAAAATTTAGTGGAATGAAATTGATTTCTATTTTAGGAGAATCACTGTGGCTCCCAAAGTAAAAAATGAATTAAGGGTGGAGGGGTAAGACTAGGCATGGTACCCAGCCATGAAGTTTTTCAGAAACCATCATTAGCTCTTAGCCTGTACAAGCAAAGTGGCAGTGGGGATGTTGAAAACTAAGTGAATGTCAGATCTGTTTAGGATATAAACTCAACAGATCTGTATTGGATAATGGATGATGAGGAGAAGGAGCAGTTGAGGGAAAAAACATTTGTCTCTTTTTGTGTAGGCTAGAATGTTGAGGGGCCCCTGCTTGCCTCACAAGCGCAAGGTCCTGAGTTTGATTCCCAGTACCAAAAATAATAATAATAATTAAATTTGAAAAAGAAAGTTGAAAAATACCAATATTTAAGGAATGACTGAGGAAGAGGCAGAAGAGGCTAAGAATAGATAAGAAAATGAGACATGTTGATAACACAGCAACTTGTGGATGTGGACTTCATGGAGGATAGTAAAGGGGTTAGATGTTTGGTGAGTACTTAAAAACAGGCAAGGATTAAAATTCATCATTGTTGGTCTTCGAGCAGTTATAACACAGTGGTAAGGGTAGCAGATAGATTGTAGTGGATTGTTAAGAGGTAAGAGGCTTTTGTGAATTAAAGGTAAATGTAAAAAAGGAGATGAGATAGAGGGCTATAGCCAAAGAAAGAGTGAGGTAGAGGGGAGGGGTTTGCTTTTGGTTTTGGGTAGCTGCTGTTTTGTTTTAAGATGGAAGAACATTATGGGAAACAGTAATCAGCAAATGGCTAAAGATGTTGTTATGGGAAAGTAGAAGAGTAATTAATTGATCTGTGTTTCAAAGCTTCAACAACGGATTCTAAGAAAAAGGATGAGGACGAAACCTTAGATTTTTAGTGGAAAGAATAAGATTGATTACAGGTAAGTTGATAGATTGCATACTGGTAGAATTAGAAAATTGAAGAAATGCTTGGGTTCATTACTTTGAACATTGGTTTGGTTTATCTCTTAGTTTTTTTTATAATACATTCTTATTCTGAAAATAGTACTTTAGAAGAAATATGTGAAAAGTCTTCTTTTCTGTCCCCATGTATATACACATTAAAATACTCTTGGAAGAAAATTTAAGATTTTATTAAATTTAAGCTTTTAAACTATGGCCTCATTTTCTGTGCACATTCTGAATTGCTTTCTATTGGCTACTCCTGCATGTTTAATAGGATGTTACATTCTTTATAAGTGATATGAAAAAATAGATTTTTTGCTTTGTTCATTGTCTTAACAGTACCACAACTTTGCAATATTGCTTATAGATTGGATTTTTTTATTGAGCTTTTAATAATTAATAGTTTTAGTTTTTCACTTACAGTTTTAGTTTCATGGTTTTAATGCATCTGGACACATTCCAGTCAGTCTGAATTGATACTTTAACTAATTGATATAGATGATAATCTCTAAAGATAGAACTTTTTGAATTACTGTTTTAAAAATAAAATTAGATTTAACTTATCATGAGTGTGACTTAGAAGATTAATGGAAGTGAATAAACATAGTGTCACACTCAACATCTTTATGTGTAACAGTTTGGATCAAAAAAATAAGCATTTGCAAGGCTAATATACATTTGAAAAGATTAGAAATGTAATGAGTCAGGAGTTGTGGTATCATTGTGAATCTTTTAAACAAAGATTTCCACCTCCCCACAAGGTAATCAGGGAAAGAGGGAGCATTCATGAGCAGGAGTTGAGGGGCTTTGGCTGAGACATGTCACTTTTATGCTACAATTAATTGAACTACTTTAGCTGCCTAAGCAGATCTGTCCCTTTTCTCTTACTGCTTTCTCCTGTTCCCTGAGGTTTCATTTCATTATTTGCTTTCTTAGAGATGGGCTTGTGTTGAAGGGTAGGTATATACAGATATTCCCTCACTCTTTTGATGAAACCCTCTGGCTATGAAGTCTAGTCATTTGTGATTGTCAGTTGTCATATGTAAGTGTCAAATGTTCATTACACTTAGGAAGCTGTGGAGGAACAGAAGTGTTGAAAACATTAAGCAAAAGCACTGTTTGGTTATAGGAACCATCAGGATTAGTAGTCTGGCCAAGCAAAAATTACTCCAAAAATAGTATTTTTCTTTAGACTTCTCTAACCCTGTTTTGAGAGCTCTCAACTCCTTGTTGCATTATTAGCTTACGTAAAAAATTTAAGAAATTTGAACAGTTCTTAAGTAGGTGAAAAATCAAGCTACCTGAATGATTTTCTTTGGAATAAGAATATTCATTTTGTGGCTACTCATTTACAGCCCAATTATGAAATCAACGGCATAGAGAAGTAAGTGTACAGTATGTGAAAGCCCATTTTGGATTTATTTATTTATTTATTATATGTTTTTCACTGTGTTGGAGGTCAAACTGAAGGCCTCAGGCATGCTAGGCAAGCACTTTACCCTGAACTTCATTCCTAGCTTGACTTTATTTTTTTAATTGACCAATTAAAATCCGTATATATTTATTTTTAGAAGTTGAAAAACATTTTAATTCATAGGTTAAGTACACTGTACCAAAGTCAGATTTTCTAGAAAATATTGAAAGTTGTTTTATATTTCTAATATGTCAGAACTTTTTTAATTAAGTGAACTTGTAAATCATAGAGGTTGATTTATACACTTGAAGTAGAAAAACAATTGAACTTAAACAGAAATAACAAAAATAATGCTAATTCATTTTAACATAATAGCTGTTATACAAGTAATCATATGTGAATTTATAGGATATAAATATAGTATTTTTTTAAACTTTAAAAGCTAAGTTTTTTGCTTTTGGTAGTCCTGAGGATTGAGCTGTATCTCCAACACTTCTGATTTTGAATGTGGGTCTTGCTAAGTTGCCTAGGCTGGCGTTAAACTTTCCACCCTCCTGTCTCAGCCTCCTAAGTAGCTAGGATTAGAAGCATGTTTCACTTGTTTCAAGTGGCGCATGAGAGACTACCTGAACATAGGCTTTGTGTGAGCAGTGAAGCTGGGTGTAGGCTGGGCTGAGATTGTGAGTGATTTCAACAGCTGACCAGAAAAGTTAAGGTTTTATAGGGTTATAATTTTAAGGAATCTGCATGGGATGCTTGGGGCCAGAGTTCCAAAGATGGTGTGCAGATATTAGGTGAGATTGGGGAGATTGTATGTCCTATCTTAAATTTTCTTTATGGCCATTTGTTCCATTTACTGAGAGCAGTATGGCCCTTTAGTGGTATCCTGTTGTTTGTGGAGTGCTGCATGTTTCCTGAGAGGGTCTCATTTAGGCCAGGCATGACACCAGTAAGCCTAGCCTTAGAGCTACTTTTTAACTGATTTGTTAAGGTTTAATTGATAATAATAAACTACATGCTCTCCTAGCCTAAAAGCTACTTTTTAACTGATTTGTTAAGGTTTAATTGATGAATAATAAACTACATACTGAAATAATAGTTACACTAAAATTTACATATTCATTTTCATCTGTTGATTGTTTCCTGGTTTTGACTGTGGTAGATAAAGCTGTTGTGAATATTCATGCACAGAGCTTTGCATGAACATATTTCATTTCTCTTAGATAGTTGGTTAATTATGTAATGGCTGGGACAGTGATAGGTGTGCTAAACTATTTTTCCAAAGTACTTGTGCTATTATGCATTTCCACCATCAGTATGTGAGATTTCCATTCTACATCCTTTGAAACATGTGATATGGTCAGGTGAAAACCTGTTTTTGTTTTTTGTCCTTTTTAAGTTTGTTGATACATTTTAGGTGGATAATACAGTTATATTCATCATTGGGATCTTGTACCTTTTTTTTTTTTTTTTTTTTTTTTTTTTGATACCAGGGATTGAACTCGGGCCCTTGTGCTTGCAAAGCAGGCCACCGAACCACTGAGCTAAATCCCTGACCCTACATGATGTATCTTAGTTCTTATTCATGATATATCTTGGTTTTTATTATAAATGTCTAATATGTGTTTTTCATTTTGTTTTGTTTTGTTTTGCTTTTGGTACTGAGGATTGAACTCATGACCTTGTGCTTAAGAGGCAGGTGCGGTGCTACTGAGCTAAATCCCTGGCCCTGAAAACCTGTTTTTAAAATTTTATCCTTCCTTTGGTGTATTCTTTTTGGTACCGGGGATTGAACTCGGGTCCTTGGCTTGCAAGGCATGCTGAGCTAAATCCTGGCCCCTTTTATGTATTCTTACAAATATTATATATATATTATTTGGGCAATGTAAAAGGTGTGTCAAATAGCTAAAAATTTTTAAAGTTAATTTTATAAAGCAATGTAGTTATAAAAAATGGCTTACTAAAAATATTGGAAAGTTGGGAAATATTGTATGGTTTTTAGGGAGTGATTTGTAATGTGTGCACTAAATTTATAGGTGTATTATTTTTCCTTTGGTAGAGTTTTCCAGAAAAGGACCTTCTACACTGTCCATCTAAGGATGCAATTGAAGCTCATTTTATGTCTTGTATGAAAGAAGCTGATGCTTTAAAGCATAAAAGCCAAGTAATCAATGAAATGCAGAAAAAAGATCACAAGCAGCTTTGGATGGGACTACAAAATGGTAATTATAGCAGTCTTTAGTTTCAGAATGCTACTTTAATTTTAGTGTCCATGGCCGGATTTGCACAGTAGCTACTTTCAGTTATCTCTTACTTTTTTGGGGGGTGGGTACTGGAGATCGAAATCGGGACTTTGTGCTTGTGATCTCTTACTTGATACTCTTCCAATATTCCTCTTTTAAGGGATTCTCTAGGGACGAATCAGATCTCTTACAGTGTCCATTGGTTGGTCACTATGCATTTATTATTCATGTCAACCACAGTCAGCAAAGTATGTAGTTAATGTTTCTTCCTTGTTTCCACTAATAAACTGTTGTAACATTTTAAATGGAATTGGATAAGAAACATGAAAATGCAGCAAAGCAACAGTGATAATGTTGGAAGTGAAATTTGAATTGATGTTAATGGGAAAATAACTGACTTTGGGAATCCTGACATAGCTGCATTTCAGGAGACCAGATATAGGGCTGTGGATGGAGCTCAGGGGAACAGTGCCTACCTGGCAAGTGTGAGGCCCTGAGTTCGATTCCTGGTTCCAAAAACAAAAAAAGAGACCAGGTATACAGCCAGAGGAATATACTAAAAGTGAACTTATAGACTTACACAAGAAAAGTAGATATCCCAGTGTAAGTGATGTAGTTACTTACTATTAAAGGAACTCATAGAAATACCTCATGACATTGAAAATACAAATAATAAAATGTAAGCTGATTAAAACATAGCTATATTTCATCTCACCCAGGCATTGGTCGCCTGTAACTTGTTGTATTTTTAAAAAGTAAAACATTTTTTTTCTCAGTTGTTTCTGATGTTTTAAATTATGGTATACTTAATTAATATTACTTTTTATTATTTACTTTTTATATTCCCATATACATTTATAAGAGACTTTTTAATTTTTTGACAGACTTTTTAAAAAGATCATGGAATAATCATGTTTGCCATTAATTATTAAGATTACTTTGCATAGTTTTAGCTTCCATAGTCACTAAAAATGAAAAGTTAGGACATCTTGTATTTTGTCTTTGATAAATGTTTTTGGTCACCAATTAGTCCAATATAAGTTATCATGGTAGTGACATCTGTATTATTATATCTAAGACATGTTGTGACCTCAGGTTATGTAAGGCACATATTTTAAGACATGTACTATAAATTACATGTTCTTTTTTCTTTGTTTTTGATTTCTTAGACCTGGGTGACATTATGCTGCTCCTTAATTTCATATTTATATACCTGGAAGTTTTTAGTACCTGGCTAGTGCTATTTTATTTTAAACCTCATATTACTGACTACAAAAATTCTTATCAAATAATTTAAATATTGATAACACTTCATGAAGGTATTTTTTTTTTGTCCTATTTGAAAATGAACTGATACTTTAGGAGACTTGTGATTAAGAAGATTGCATAACTGGAAGAAGCTAGGATCATATAGAGAAGGGATTTGAGAATAATTTTACTTCAGAATTGGAGTGAACACTTTAAATGGGCAGATGTTAAAGAGAGCCTCAGATTCAGCAGAGGATTCTAAAAACCATTGAAATGTTTCAAGTGGGATGTTGAATAATCAAGTATGGAGGATAATATGAGGTACAGTTGAAAACTGTAGTGAATGTTTAATTTTTTTTTTATAAAGTTGATTACAGTAAAAGACACATTGCCATTAGTCCCCTTCAAAATACTCCCACTCCCTTTGAACACGTCCTATCATTCTTTCCACTTTATGAAGCAGTTCTGGAAGTTCTCTTTCATGAATGTTTTTAGTTGCACTGTCATGGCTGCCTCATTGTCCTGAATTGATTCAAAATGTTTCTTTTGTGATCATTTTGACTCTGGGGGAAGAGCTGTTAGTTGCATTGTGCCAGATTGAAGAATTGTATGGTGTGAATAAGTTGGATGAGAACACCAGAGCCTGCTTTTCTCTCAAGTTGGAACCCAGCAGCAGTCACTGTAATTTTTAACACACCTCCTAAAGATAATAAGAGGACTCCAGAACTGCTTCAGAAAGTGGCAAGAATGATGAGATACGTGTGTTTGAAGAGAGGGGGAGGTTTTTTGAGGGAGATTAATATCAATGTGTCTTTAACTGTAATTTTGAAAATTAAAACATTCACTGTATATATTGATCACACCTTATAGTTCAGAGTTGTGAAAAGAACTGTCTGGTTTGTACTTTCAGGTCGAGTAATCCTTAAGTCACTCAGTCTCTTTGAGCTTCAGTTCCTTTATCTATATGACAAGAAAGTATCTGCCTTTTAAGTCTCTGTAGATGATTTTGTAATTGTTTGAGAGAAAGTAAAGCTGTCTCATTTCTAAGAAATGGTTCTGGGGTTTGAACCCGGGACCTTGTGTGTGTTAAGCTCACACATATTGAGTTGCACTCATGACCCTTCAAAAAAAAGAAATTATATAAAAAATACTTTATACCTAGAC